CCCGGCCCGCGAGGCCTGTGCTGCCGGCGGCGCTGAAGGGCCTGGGGCGGGAGGAGGGGGAAGGGAGGGAGGGAGGGCGGAGGCGGCGACGACGTCTGGGGGCTCCCGGTGTGGGCGGAGAGGTCGTTGCGGGAGGGAAGGGCCGCGGCGGGGCCGAGGCTGGCTCCCCGCCGTCCTCCGGAGCCGGCGAGCCGGGGCTGGGCACGGCGCTTCTCCCCTGCCGCCCTCGGCCGCCTCCCGCTGCGCCTTCTGGCGGGGAGCGGCTGTGGGCTGGGCGGCGGGGCCCTCGCTCCCCGGCGGCTCGTCTCTTGGCGTTCGCTTCGCTGCCAGGGTGGTTTGCGGGGATGCTTTCCCCTCACGGTAGTTAGGACACATGCGCCTCTTAAGCGCCAGCGGGCCGAGGAAGCAAAAAACGTGGGGTTTGTTAAGGTACAGGAGCGCGTCACCACGCTTCAGCCCTGCCTGCCTTGTGCTCGGTGTAGCTTGGCCGTGGAGTCGTGTTGTCACTAGTTAAACGCTGCTCGGTACCCTTTAAGAAAGTACAAGAGGTTATTTTCTTAGGCTACATTAGGAAGGAAATGTAGATTTGCCTTTTTCCAGGCGGCTTTGAAAGCTTGGGAAAACAAAAAGGAAACGCAGTGTGTGATACTGTTTTCATTAATAATCAAGATAATTTGGCAGTTTAAGTATCTTTGGGTGGTGAAATTTAATGACATGAAACAGCTGATAAACTTGTGACGTACATGAGGCCTGTGGTTTCTTTCTACCTCTGTGAGTTGGAAGGGCAGGGGTTTAGTGAGGAATGAGCGAAAGCTTAACAGGCAGTGGTTTGTCATTGACACTGAGCCCTGACTTGTCACTGAAGTGCTGTCAGTGAGAACAGGGTATCTGCACGTTCAGATTCTGGCAAACCTGATCAACCGTATGGATGCTTTTTCATTCTGATAAACAAGCTGTCGTCTTGGTTACCAGTAATCACTCAAGTGTCGTACCTTCTTCTAGTAAAGACATTTATTCTTGTAAAGACATTTATTTAGGTTGAGCTTGTACAGTGACCTGAACAAAAACCTGGGGTATCTTAGCCATCTAGTTTACTTAAAACAGGGAAGAAACACATCCGTGTACCTTCAAATTAGATGGGAGCTTTGATTCTTCTTGTGGCATAGCATAAGAAGAAATGCTAATGATTGCTATAGTTTTGCATGTTATAAATCTTACCCCACGTGAAAATTCTCATTTGCTGAAATACTGTGATAGAATCAAATAATTTGTGTGCTGTGATGCACTATGCTTATACTTGGAGTGTTAATCTATTATGAACACATTATTGTAAGGTGTCATTTTTTTGTATAGTGTTTTGCTTTACTTAGCTCATCTTCTTTGCTTTACGTGTAAGTAGTCTAAGATTAAGTTAAAGCTAAGTGCTTCTAAGAATCCTAAATGTTCTTCCTGTGAAGATCAGGCTGTTAAGCACTGCAAGCTTATGCTTCTGTAGGGACTTACTTCATGTTAGCCTTTTCTTTTGAAAAACTCTAAACATAGTAACAGTATGCAGCTATTCTACATTTAAAACTTCATTAAATTTAAAAATAAAGATTCTCATGACTTCTTTTCCGTGAGGAATATGTTAACATACAGCTTTCCTGGCACTGCTGCCTTTTTTACTTTTAAACCAAGTAATCCTAATCCAGGTTTCTTAAATGAAGAGTGTTGAGTATGGTAAGCTACATTCACCTTGTTCAGACACTTCTGGATGTCTGCATTATCCTAGAAGCAAGGAGTATGGACTTTGCTCCTTTCTGAAGAAATTATGTATTTGATTTCAGGGCTGGCTTGCTCTTAGGTATGTGGTTAGAACAGACACTGCAAAACATAAAGAGCTCTTGTCAGAACTGACAAAGTTGAAATTAACAGTTATTCTGCAGAATCTTTTGGTGAAATGATGTTTCTGTGTGCCTGTTCACACTCTGAATGGCTGTATGACAAGAAGTGTTTGAATCGGCATGTTTTCTTACAGTAGCCTTTGGAATTTCGTTCTTTGGCCCCTTCCTTAGCATTAATGAGTCTGGTTTGGAAAAAAAAATAAAGGTAAGTGAAATGAAAGTGTGTTGCTGTTAGAGTTTTATCTAAGAAACTCCAAGCCAGTTTTGACTTCCAGATCACCCCTCTTTGTTCTAGGGGCACCTATCCATAACAGGTAATGTCCTGCACTAGCAGGACTCTCTTTTTTGGCACATTTGGGCTTTGTGTGCTTCCTGGCACTCAGGTGAGAGAAACAGATGACCATCCTGCGACTTATCCCTTGAGACTTTGGGTACTGCTCTGCTTTGCTCAGCTGTTACTTAAACTCAGGGACATCCTTCTGAGATGGCTAGTCTCTTGGGTCAAGAAATTCAGCTACTGATCTTTCTGTAAATGTTGGAGAGTATCGGAATGCCTTCACAGATTCTCAGGGCTTGATTTTTGAGCCAGAAAGAGACAGTTTTTTCCCCTGGCTCTACTTGCAGTGGCAGTGAGTACCTGTTAGAGTTTGATATAACGTGAGATGGGTAAATCCTTTTCCTTTGACTTGATAATGCCATAGCTTTTGCTGTAATGATATCAAAGCCCACTTAGCATGGGATATCCCTTGATTATTGAGATTTTTCTTTGATAAGTTAACTTACCTTTTTTTTTTCCCCCTCATCCCCCTTCCCATACCTTCTGATTGCCCCACCTGATTTTGGAGGTATCTCTTTTCCTCTGATAATTAGGATATTTTGTTGGGGAAGGCTTTTGTTGATCAGCGTTGGGCACTGTGTATGCAGTGTCTGCTTCAGGATCTGTCATAGGCTATCTCTTAGCTTTGATGGTGGAAAAGTTTACCCCTAACCTCTAAAATAACCTTTCTATCCTGCTGTCTCTTAGGATTGACCAGAAAGAGTAGGTTCCAGGTAGGAGAAACAAACCACAGCACGCCTACTCCATCCAGCCTTCCATTTGTGTTTTGGTTACAGTGAATTCTGAAAAGATTGGCCAAAAAGAGTGAAGGCATTTGGAGCCTTGTTCATACGATCTTCCTTTGTTCTGTCCAGGAGTCTTTTTGCACTTGGTATTGGTTAGCTAATTGAGTTATTGCAGTTAGGTATCGATACAAGATTTTTTAAAATTTTTTTTTAAATTGCTTTAGGGAGATTCTTTTCTAGTGGGCTCGGGGATGATTTTCAGTGATTGTAGATTGCATACAGCCACTAGGTAGCATTTTATGTAGCTGATGGTGCTTCCATGGTGTTGGATGGTCGGAAGGTTTTCAAGCATGGTCCTTTATGGAAGATGTGAACTGACTTAGATAATTTGTCATTCAATGGTCTCCTCTATTTATTTCCAGAATGGATGCTGCTTGTCTCTGTACCTGGGTAAAGGATGCCTGTATATAGGTGCCAGTCCTCCTTGTGGACTTTATTAGTTATTATTAGGACTAATTCTGAGTTAGCGTTTCAAACAAAATTCATTTTGCAGAACACAGCATTTGCTGGAAAGCTAACCTTTCATATTCTTTGGATCAGTCTCTTGCCCTTCAAGACAATTTGTATCCTTTGCAGTGGGATCCAGGGGTAGAGCTATTTTTACCAGGTGCTAATCAAAATGGACAGCAATGTACTGAAATGGTGCTGTGGTTCTACCTCTCTAGTGAAGTGTGTCTAGGTTCCTACTCACGTTTTATTTGTTGTGCTTAAAAAAAACCATTTTCATCTTAGACACCAGGCAAGTGCTCCATTTGGATCATCTAATACTGTGTTGTCAGGCAGCCATTCAAAAACTACATTTGCTTTCAGTGAAGTTTTTCTGCCATATAGTTGCTTGTCCGAGGGACTTGGAAACCTGTCTTCAGGCAATTGAACAACTGCAAGCAGTACCTCACACGTCCACGGAGTTCGACTGTATGCATGGACAGTTTGCTTGAGTGCTTATGGAGGTGTCAGCTGTGTTACAGAATTGCTCCCCACCTGTTTTGTCTTTTTTTTATCCTATAAATTGGGATTACAGGTTGAGATAAATAAGAACAAGGCATGTGCTTTGACTCATGTTGGAAGAGGATGAGGTATTCGGGCTTCAGTACTTCACATGGTTATTGTCAAAGCAAAGAAATTTTCGGTCTTGGCTGTTTGTGATGCACAATCATCCAAAACGTGAATGTGCTTACAAACAGTGCACCATAAGGAAGTTGCTGTTAAGCAGCATCTTTTTTGTGCTTTCAGTAGTAGCTATTCCTAAGTAAAGGTCAGTCTTTTAAATCACGTATTTTTGTACAATTCACTATACGGATAAATGTCTTTCTGAATTTCAGAATTAATGCTAATTATTGGTATTTTTCTAGGTAACTTGGGAGATCGGGCATGTCTTAGCTGTACATCCCTGAGGCTGGCAAACAAAATGTGAGTAAATATGAACTTTTTTCCTAAACTTAAAACCGTAGAAAACTATCATAGAATATGGGTTTAAATCTTCTAGACCAAGTGTGAAAATAGTAGCTTCAGCTTGTGTTATTGACAGATCAAAGGAAGTCTGAGTATTATTACTCTCTTCACCTGCTTGTTTGTGTGTGGAAGAAAGTGAGATCTTCCTTTTTTCACCCACTTCCTCCCTCTTTGTTATGATGTGAAAGCAATAGAATATTAATCTTGTTCTTGAGTGATTCCAGGTGATATCATGGGCTTCTGGCATACTTTCTCTGTGGAGTTCCATAGAGTAAATGTTCAGTCACAGCTAGCTTGAAAAACATAGTTGGCAGTTAGGGATGTAGATCATTCAGAGATCATCATGCAGATACAGAGTTGTATCTTTATTAAACCAAAGTAGTTTACTGTATGTTACAGCCTTGGGTGAGACTCTGCTAGGAGGTGGTGTCCTCTTCTGAAAATGAATCCAGTTGCTCTGTGCTTTTATGGAACTTAAGGAGTTGGATGTTGGCAGAATCCATTCTCTGTTCCTGACTTGGCTGACAAGGCATACTGGTGGATATGAATTACCTAACGCCTTTCCTTGGAATGTTAAAATATGTATTCTCTAGTTATTTATAGTCTGACTGCTCAGGAAACCATGACTGTTCTTCAATTTCCTAAGTTTCCATTTTAACGTAAGGATATGTCTCTAGACATAACCCCCTAATATGAAACAAAGTAATTCCTTTCTTTTTAAAGTCATGTTAGTTCTAGACCACTTACTGTATAATTAGTTGTGAGAGTTTTTTAATACATAAAGCATTTTCAAATCTCTGTTTGCTTTTTAGTAGATTATTAGATGGGTCCTCTCTCTTGGAAAATTGGAAACTTACAGTTTGAAGTCTGTTATATGAGCAGCTGAATATTGGGACAGAAATTCTTGGGGTTTTTTTTGAGAAGTTTTTTTTTCTACCAAAAGCTTCTGTTAACATAATGTTTCTGTTTAAAATAAAACAACTGGTGCCCGCACCCCAGATGACCCAGATCCAAAACCAAGGGACTCTAATGATACAAGTACTGAGTACAGCTTACGATAGAAGTTCTGTGTCTGACATCCTGCAAGTGAAAGTGTGTTCAGAGAGGCATATTTCTTGTGAAAATTTTTTTCCCTGCAGACTCCGAACCAGTTCTGCTGGCAGAGCTCCCTTCCTTTCTGCATGCAGAAGCATGTAGATGGATGTGACTGGAACTTGGTCTGTAGGCTTGGAGCTCTGCTTTTGGGAAATGACTTAGAGTCAGGATGGATTAATCTATGCAAGTGTTTTAATCTGTTTTTTGAATATGTACTTATTTTCTTAAAGGAACCGTAATTCTCATTAGTTAATATCTGTGCAAGTGTGTAGTTTTCTAGCTAATCAAGGAAATGTTTTGTGTAGCTGTGTATGTTTTGGCAGTCATCTGACTATTGAATGGTCAGATGCTTAAAATTTTAGTTTAAGCTAGAAATTAATAATGCATCTTTAAAAAGTAATAATTTAGTCAATTGTTTTGTACAAGGCTCTATTTGAATAACATTAAATAGATAAAATCATTAAAGTAATTTAAATTCATTGGATGCATGTGATGATTAAGTTTAAAAAGTACTTCTGGCTGAAAACTGAGTGAGTGAGGTTAATACTTGTAAGTGTTCAATAAACTTTTTTTTCCTTAAAGTGTTATTCAGAGCTGTAGAGCCACTTGCACCTCTTTTGTGTTCACTGACTGAAGACAAATACACGTTCAGATTTTGTTTTGATAGTACAAGGGCCCAGTGAAGAAACACCCCAATCATTTCTGTCCTGTAGATGACTTAATGTTGGCATTTCAGTTTGAGGGACAACTAGTGGAACTCATTTATATAAAATATTGTATCTACTATTTTAATTTTGTCATACCCTTTTATAAAAGTGTGTACAATCCTACTAGCATATAATGAGTAGTTCTTCTGTGTGTATAGTGAGTGTTTGGGGTGTTTGAGCAATGCTTTCCTTCTAACTTCAGGTTATGTTTAATTAAAGAAAAGAACAAAATTCTGAATAAGGTAGAAGAGTATTGGTTCTGTCTGTCCCAGCTCAGCACCACGATGGAAGTTTGTGCAAAATTTTCTGTTGAAAAAGGAAAACTAGATGCATGGAGATAGTAAATGAAGAACTCTAATGAAATCGGATTTCTCTGATACTAATTCTCTTCCTCTAACTCAGCACCTATCCCAAGTCTACAATTTCTGTTTTTTTTCCTTGAGGGTTTTGTTCAAACAGGAAAAGTAATAGAAGGGGCTTTATGTTACTTCTGGATTTACAGATTTATTTTCAAATATAGTTTTCTAAATGGAAAGCACTTCTGGCTGTTACTACTCATTTAATTGGAGTAAAATAAGCCACCTTTTCCAAATTATTTAATGGAAAACTCCTTGCAGGTTATTTTTTTGTCGTGAAGTAAAGCCAAGCATTCTTTTCAGGTATAGACATTGATCGTGAGAGTCAAAAGTTTGGTGGTTTTTTTTCTTAAATATGTGGTAGATATTTCTCAAATGATGCCGTTTATAAATACATACATTTAAAGCTATACAAATATATATAAATAGCGTATGATCTATTGCTAATTCTTGAATGCTCTTTTCTTTTGAAGGACTGTACACTTTAAATATTGCACTAGTGTCCCTCCTGTTTACGCATACTCCAGAAAAGATCACTATTGTTGTTGGACTAAAGGATCTGAACAAATACACTTTCCTCTTCAGAGCTCTTCTGGCTCGTGGACGCCACTAGCAACAATGGGTATTTTAGGTCCCCAGTATCTTCCAGTTAGATGGTGGCATTCTTCACATCCCCTTCAAGATGACTCCATAGTTGAAAAGTCACTGAAGTCCTTAAAGGACAAAAACAAGAAGTTGGAAGAAGGAGGTCCTGTATATAGTCCAACAGAAGTGGAAGTTGTGAAAAAATCTATTGGACAGAGGATTGTGGATGAACTGAAGCACTATTACCATGGTTTTCGATTACTGTGGATTGACACAAAAATAGCTGCAAGGATGCTCTGGCGAATACTTCATGGAAACACTTTGTCTCGTCGAGAACGGAGACAGGTACTGAGTAAATACCAATGTTGTTTGAGTATCCTTAGCGATTGCTCCATTTTATTTGAAGCGAGTTGGTCTTCTGTTCACAGAATTAAAATTGCTAGGTGTATTTCCCTCCTCCTCCCTATGTGGACACTAAAAATTTTGGATATGACTCTGAAACATTTTAGTCTTGTTCCCATTATTGAAGATAAATTTGGTATTTTCTAGTTGGAACAGCAGAGGATTCTTCTGTTTTGTCATGTGGACAGCAGTTGTGGTTTGTTCTCAAGTTCCCATCCATGTGCTACATGTGTGTACATGGTCACTTCCTCTGCTTTTTCACTCCAGCTGGAAAAATAGAGGGAAAACACTTTTAGTAAAGGTTGGATTGGTGCCAATTCTGTTGTATGGTTTGGTTTTCGTTTTTTTTAAACAGAAGAAAAGCTGCAGGCTGAAATGTATGATTGATAATCAGATATAAGTACTTTCTCAGTTGTAAATATATTTGTGAGATAATTTTAGTTCAAATAAGATAATTTGAGGAAAGTTTTTGGTTTATACTTTCATTTTTCTTTATGGCATGTAGCTTACGTTTATGGAACTGTAAAAAGGCAACTGATAATTTTAAAGAAAAGGGAAGGGGGATGGAGATGAAATCTGGAGTGCAAAATGAAAGTGCTTTCAAATTAGGATAACACATGCATTTGAATAGTAATTTCAGTTTGTGGATGAAGTAAATGTACTTATTCAACTAGAATTAAAAGATATATGGCTATTTAAAAACATTTGACGTGAGCTCTTATATGGAAAGACTGCAAAATAATAAGCTGTTTCAAAACTGGTATAGTTAAAAAAATTTTTTTTGAAAGAATGCATTGCTACTCAACATCACCAGTTCATTAGCAATATATCAAACATGCTGATTTAATAGTTCTCATTTTACTGTTTTTAAAGACAAGTTGTTTAAGAATTTTATACAGATAAAATGTTCAAGTCTATCTTCCTGCCTTTTTTTTCTTAAAAAAAGGCATTTCAGATGTTGCTGAAAAAAAATGTGCTGGAAGAAATGTTGGAAAGTGAAAAGTGTATGTACTGTGGCAGCAGGAGTGAATAGTGCTGCTTGCAATCGCGGTCCGGTTCTCTGCAGTTTGTACACTGTACATGCAATGTGTTAGGTTCACATCTCTGGCTTCAAAAATTTTGTTAAATTATCAAAAAAATGAATATTTGCTCATTGTTTTAATAATTTCCTGATAAATTAGGTACATCGTTGAACATTTTCATGTGTAATTAATGAACATCACATCTTAATGCAGTATGCAAAAGTTTTTTTTCCTGTATTTGCAAGGTTAGCCAAATAACAAAAATTGTTAAATGCCCATGTAGCGGTTTTCATCTCTGATTACATTTGGTCTCTTTCTACAAGAGCACTGATTGATGGTATTTGGTCTCAGCATCTTCATGCTACTTATTTTTGCCCTCTTCCTTCTGCTGGTACAAGAGTATGTTTGGCAGCTGATCCAGCTGAAACGTTGCTCAGCAATAAATATAACAGTCTGTGCTGACGTAGGAGAGGGGATTATGTAGTGCCAAGAAAGAGTAACTGAGGATAGGGGGGAATGAGTACTGCAGGACTTCTTGAAGTAGCAGTTCTGGCTTGTGCTGGCTTATTGAGAGCTTTGGGAAACTTGGAAAACCATGTGAGACAAATTAATTCATGGTTTGAAACTGAATCGGAAATCCTCCAGAGGGCGAGATTGGAACCATTGGTTTTCCTGCCTGTTTCATGTTCACTGAGCATACTTCTGAGAAATTAAACAAACAACAGTACAATATGGATATCATGGAAATATTTCTGCTGAAGAATCAGGACTGTACTCTATCTAGAAGGCATGAACGTTTAGTAGTAATACGTTATCTTTGGAAACATGCATTATTCCATCAATAGAGAGATTTATTCACTTGATTACGCTTTAGTTTCATCATCTAGTGATGATAGAGCTGTCTTTCTCATATTTATGTAGTGGTCTGGCATTTGGCCTCCCTGAATTCTTTTTTTTTGTGCAGATGTGTGATTTCAGTATCAATTCCTGTATTTTAAATAAACTAGAAATTTATTGTGCAGGTATAAATTAGTGTTTACATTGATGTAGCCTGTCTCTTACCTAATGATGTGTGTGTGTATGTATGCATGCAATCCGGTGTAGATGATGTAGAGAAAATAGTTTTAAGAACTACGGTAATGTTATTTTCTCAATCTAGGTTTTGTGTTTTCTTTATATGGAGGTAGAGAACATCCTGTCTCTTGAATTGAGTCATGGTAGGCTTAGAACCCAGGGTCAGTGGAAAGCAAACCAGCCTACAGCTGAAGAACCCTTTACATATGCTTTTTTTAAACCTTATTTTAAGTTTGTTTCAACACAGTTCATTTTTTGTCCGTTCAGCCTTAAATTGTAGTATACTACTGATTTAAAGAAGTCTTAAAGCTTTGATGCCAGATTAGCTACAACTTTGCAGAAGTTGGTCCTGAACTTTAAAAAAAAAAAAAAAAAAAAGTAGTACATACTGCTTTAAATTTATTAAACTGTATATGAACTGACAGTCTAGAGAAATCTTATCTTCACGCAGGCTGACAAATGAGTTACTTCTGCCTGCCCTTTCCTTCCTCTTTGGAGGCAATTATGGAAGGATATCCAAGTAATCTAACCACATTAACAAGCAATTGCAGCATGGCTAATGCAAGGAAGCTATTGCTTATGTAAACCAAAAGTTGGTTCCAAAATTCTGCTTCTACAGTTGCTGGTAGGGTTTGGATTCAACAGGATCAGGATCACGTATCTACGCTTAGAAGAAAAGGCAGGAAGAAGTAAAACATAGGAGATATGATACTGCTGTTAAAAACTAATTGCTGTAGTGCTGCCGCCTACTGCTGGATGATTCAGGTCATGGAAGTGAGATGGCAAACACTACGGAATTTGTGGCAAGTGTATCAGCTTTACAAATTCTTTAATCCTGCAGAGGAGGGAAAAGCGGAATACATGAAACTGTGGCAGCAGATGCAGAGTAGTCACAAGTTTTTCATGCTGTGCTGCCAAATAACATGCGTGTAATCATGCACCATTGTATTAGGTTCCTGTGCAAAGTTGTTTTCCTTGAGTTAGTGGAGGGTGCAGTTTCGTGATTTATGTAAGCTGTTCCAGGACAGTAGTGCTGCTGTGAAAAAGGCCAGTCCCGCTTGGTGCATAAACCAAATTTTCCAACTCCCCCTGCCCCTTCTGATTAGTACTGATCCTTTTTCTCTTGTCTGTGTATGTATTTATGGGTTAGGTTTAGCTGGATCAGTCGTGTACCTTCACATTGTGATTGCTAGTGCACCTTCATGACTTTTTATACATTGTCTCAGGTTAGCATTAGGTTAGCTTAATCTGGTTGTAAAACTGCTTCTGTAGATACGGATTTTGCCATGTACAAATACTTGCATGCAATGTCTAAAAACAGATACTGGGTAAAAATAGGAACTCTGTTCCGCACTCTATATAAATTTTTGAGGTTTTTTTTTCAGGGAAAATATCTTGTTCTGACTTCTGAAATTTTTTTCCAAACTTTCTTACATCTTTTTGAACTCCTAGTAGTCATTTATCTTCTATTGTTGGAATGAATGGAAAAATCTTTGAGCCTGTAAACAATGGACCAAAGCATCCCTTCTGGGAAACTGAATTTTTTATATACAAAGAAAAATGTTGAGCATTGGATCTGTGGAGTTTGTGCATTCCTCAAACAGTATTGAAGATTTTGGCTGGTTTTATGCTAAGAAAATTGTTTGAAGTTTTACTGGTTTTGTATTCTAGCAAAGCAGTCCTAGCGACATGCAATTTACACTGGTTGTTGCTGCTGTTCCCCTGGATTCACGGGAGGTGTGGGGAGGGGATGGAGGGGGAAGCATGTGTTTACTTCTGTAAGAGCATTTATGTTGCCAGTTTTTGCTAGTCATAGCTGTGTTTATCAAATCATGTTGTTGAAAGACACTACCGTGGCAGTAGTGTACCATAGTGTACATCTGACCTTCAGTCTCTGATTTAGGAACTGACAATATTCCTAATAACCAGCTTTGTAAAATGAGGTAGAGTCAAACAATATCTGCACTCGCCAATATAAACCAAGTTATTAAGCTTCCAACGAGTACTGAAAGATTCAGTTATAGACTGTACAGCCTAATATATACATTTGTGGGTGTACAGAAATGAGAAGGACAATATTTGTTTTATGCAGTTCAAGATTCGGTAACTAATGCATCGGCCTGCTTCAGAGGATTACTGGTCTAGAAAAGCAGTGATTTAAAAAAAAAAAAAAAAAAAAAAATCTACCAAGCTGGGCTCATTACCCTGGATTTAAATGTACATTACAATTGTTATAAGGCAGAGGGGGAGGGAGCTTTCATTTTATTCTTGATTACTTAGTCCATAGTAGCTCATGCATGTAAGAAGTGGTGGAGCACAAATAAAGATGAATAAAAGAAGTTAAGCAGCTTTAACGACAACAAATGACCACCTCCTGTTTTCAGGTGCTTTTAAGAGGTTTAAATGAGATACTTGTTCAATAATCCTATTGAGACACAGTGAGGCTTTTGAAGTACTTTCTATAGTGTTGAAAACTGGTGAAACTCTGGCACTCTAGTATAGAGCAACTTGAAGAAAAAGATACTAAAACCTGACTTTATCACATCCTGTTTCTGTCTTATTTTAAAATTCCTTTGTAGCAAATATATATATGTGAGCATAAGTGATAATGTGGATGATCATATCAAGTATTTTTTAAATAAATATTTAAAATTTTGCTTATCAATAAATTTTTTTTTTTTTTCTTCCAGTTTCTTCGAATATGTGCCGATCTTTTCCGTTTGGTCCCTTTCCTAGTTTTTCTTGTTGTCCCATTTATGGAATTTTTGCTTCCAGTAGCTCTTAAGTTGTTCCCTAATATGCTTCCCTCTACATTTGAGACAAAGTCTAAAAAGGTAAGCAGGTCTGAATATATAATCCAGCAATACATTTTGAAAAAATTAGAACTTTACTTGGTAAAGAAAGAAACTAGAAAAATTCTAAAAAGAAGATTTTTTTTTTTTTTTTGGTATTAGGGGAATGCTTTTGTCTTCTTTATGTTATTTTGATGATCTTGCTGTTAACATATAATAATGAACCAGCGCCATCCTAGTTTACCTTTTTATATGTGCAGGTGCTTAGCTGTCATGGCTGGAAACTTCTCTTGTCTTATTTGCTATCCTCATCTCCATTTTCTATGACTCTTACAAAGCAGAAATGAAAGCTATGAAACTTTATTTCTCTAGTTTGTATTAAAATACACAGACTTTGTTTTGGCATTTGTAGTCCTTACTCTTGATGCAAGGTTTTTTGTATGTATACTTAATATTTAAAATAGCTTCTTATGCATTGTTTTGTTTAAACTTTATTTCGTTTAGTTAAGTTTTCTTGGAATTGTTTAGAGCTTTGTAAAAACACACCAAAAAGCCCCACAAGTTCTCACTTTCAGAGCACAAAAGACTTACATGACTTTTGTACATAGTGTATATATAATCAATCATGATTTTATACCTGGATCTAAGTAACCATTGATTTCTAATGCTGTGATAAATTCTTTTTTGTTTGGAGGAGCTATAGTGTAGGATTTCTGTGCTGGATACAAGAGTTGGGAATTACCCTAACCAGTTGGTTAGTTTCTATATTTTATTACTAATTCAGAGGGTGCAGGTTAGTTTTAGCAGGCCACTCATGCTGCACTTCACTCTGTTGGCATTGCATCTCGTGCTTCATGGAGCTTGAGCTGATCAACCTATTTTTCAGTGTGATTTGGGGATCTTTGGTAAGAGTGAATGTCCTCTCGTGATACGTGTATTACAGCAGAAGTTCAGAAGTACTCTACAACTTGTCTGCGGGCAGAAGTGGTATTTAGTGTGCATATTTCTGGAAAGAACTTTTAAAACCAAATATTTTGTTAACAGGAGGAGAGATTGAAGAAAGAATTGAGAGTAAAGCTTGAATTGGCTAAATTCCTTCAAGACACAATTGAGGAGATGGCCTTAAAAAATAAAGCAGCCAAAGGAAATGTTACAAAAGATTTTTCAACGTTCTTTCAAAAGGTAAAATTTTTTTTAAAAAGTATTTTCTCTTCCTACCAAAAAAATAGATTTGCGTTTTGTTTGGTCTATGGTAATTGTCAGATACTTTTATTCTGTTGGATTTGAAGAAGCAGGATATAATAGGTTTTTTAGGATAGATTTCTTTTTTGCAAGTAATACTTCAGTGTGCTGAAGTTTTACTGTTCTTCGCTTTGGTGTTGTAGCTGGTACTTTCACTCTCTGATTCTAGAAGCAATATATTTCTGCTCATTTGCTTTCTTGTTCTCTTATTTTGTTAATAAGTCACTTCTAACATTAGAAAAAATAATGCACTCAGTGATTAGTCATGTAGTTTTTGACCTCTTTTTTTGAACATTGGGTGTAAAAAGTGGGAGAGAAGACTTATTTCCTAATTAACTGATTAAAACTTAGTGGGGCAAAAGTAAAAATTTCTTGTCAAATTTCATTCTGCTTGTAAAAACAGTTTTTAAATGCACAGGTGCTATACTGCTGAAATCCTTTTGGATACTGACTAGAATGTGGTATGATTGGGGTTTGCTAGAATGCAAGTGCTGCGTTTGGTGCAAAATTTTTCTATTCACAAGCAGTTGCTGACACAGAGAATAAATGTCAGATATCTGCCTCCTACACTGATGGCCTTCAGGTTTGGCAAGTTGTAGGTAAGGGTAAGGTGTTCCCTGGAGAAATGAAAAATACCTTCTTAAATCTTCTGAGGATAGGATTTATCTCAGTTTGCTCGCACTTAAGATTTCTCTTAATGGTGGGGCTGTTGAATAAGAGATCAACCATCATCAGGTGCTTTGTTGAAAGTAAGAGTGTAGTCCCCTCCTTTGGGGAGAGTATGTATTTGCACAGAAAAAGGCACATAAGCCTGGGGATTTCAGACCTGAACTTTACAAGTCCTGTGAGCTAGCTGGAGCTTTTCCTGCTTGCCAGTGGTGAGAATAAAGTTTTAAAGGGTGGGGTAATAAGATCATGTTGACTGTGCTGAGTAGGTTACCTCAGATACTGATATTGGCAAGTTTTGCCAGTCAGTATCTGTTTGCAAAGTCCGTGTACTTTGAAGCTTCTATGCAATCATCTGTTTCTGTTCTTTTTTCATCTGCAGAAAATTTTAAATGGTTAGTTACAGCAGTTAGTAGTTGAAGCGCTGACGCTGCAGACTCTGGGAGCGTGCCACTGCCATGCTTCATGTTTGGAACATTTTTTTTCTTCTGAAAGAACTGCTACTGAGAATTTACATTTGGCGGTTAATTTCTGTGGAAATAAATGACGTATCACTCCACATTTGCTGGAGGAAGTCCCAGGTTCCTCTCATGACTGACTAAAAAGAAGTTTCAGGCCCTGCATTTCTTATATGTGGGTGTGCTTTTTACAGCTATATATTTCTCATTTTTGCCATGGAGACAAACTTTATTGATGTCATTTCACTGTACTAGATAATAAATGTCAGAGCAAGAACCAGCTTAAAAGTTTCCCACCTTTTTGCTGTTCTTTTATAGCTGCTTCTGCAGTGAAGTAGTTGATGCTGCAAGAACCATTGATGACAAGAGTTTGCTGCAAAATTCCAGAATTTATCTGTGTTGCTTTGTATCTAGTGACATACTAAAAAGTTTCGGTTTGCACTTTCAAGAAACATATGCTTGGCTTTGCTAAAATTCAGCTTTAAACAAGGAAGAAAATACTTTCTGGTATTTTTGAAGTTCCATTTTTGGCTCCTGTAGTAAAGGAGCTATTGAAGTGGAACAACAAGGCCTTTGACCTTTCTTTCTCTGAGTTGGTTTCTCTGCTACACAAGTATCCTGGAGGTTAATGGACTCAAGACTATCTTGTCTTCCAAATTTTTATCTTTTCCTGTACTCAGGAGCTGTTCATTAAAAGATTTGAGTTGGCAAGTAAAACAGCTAGGCATAATAAATCAGGCTGTATAGGAAATGTTAGGTTTTCAGACTGTACTTATGTCACTTAGCTTATATTTTCTTTACAGGGCTTAAAAAAAGGTAGAGGGATTGGGAAAAGTGTTTTTTGGATATCTGTGTACTTACTGATAGTAAGTTTAGACTATTTAGACTTCCGTTTAGACTGAAGGTGTTAAGTGGGAGTACTTAATTGTTAAGTTCTATAGATTTTGGATTCAGTAATATCACTAATAAGCACTTGATGGTGTACTTAAAATAGAAAAATCAACATTTATACAGGTGATAATGTTTTACTCCGACCTGATGAGACTAGGGAATGATTTTTTTTCTACTTTGAACTGTTATTTCTGCTTCCAGTATTTGAATCTAATTACTGTGAAGTGCCATTTGGCAACGCATAACTTAAAAGCTTAACTTTGCGTTTGTACAAGCAGTTACATAGAACCTTCTATCAAGAAGGATGCAGAGTCCTTTCCCAAATAGCAGTTTATATTTTGGAATAACTTCAGGTACAAGTGCATTTGCACTGAAGTGCTGCAGAACAGCTAGGAGCTGGAAGCAAAACAGTGTTGTAACAAATGCGGTTGTGGAGAGAATGTAGGTGGCTAAGTGTCCAAATCCATGTTTCATAGGGACGCCAACGTGGCAAAATTTTTGCTGTTGGATGTACTGCTCCTCTATCTTCACAGGGTGATGCTTTTAATGTGCTTTTATGTTTAATAAGTATGGTACCAGAAGGAATACTTGCCAGTGTGACTTCTGTAGAAACTATTTATTTGCTTAGATATATATGTGTTGGGTTTCTTGGAGGTATCTCGTGGCAGTGCCAACTCAGACAGACCTGCTCATTAGTATACCTATGAATCTAATTTTTGTCTTAAGTAAGTTATGCAATCTTGTTGGAACTATCAAGACCGTCAATTCTTTTGCCTTTTATAGCAAATAAGTTGGGGTTTTAAAATTTTTTTTTCATGTCTCCCGTGTGTTCTATTTCCTATCCCAAAATTGATGCGAAGTACTTGAAAAAGAGAATATTTCTATTGTTCAAAATAATGCCCAACCATAACATTTGCTTTGAAAAGCTTTCTGTGTGTTTGTTTTTTCTTACAGATCAGGGAAACTGGTGAAAGACCCAGTAATGAGGAGATCTTAAGGTTCTCTAAACTGTTTGAAGATGAGTTGACTCTGGACAATCTAACCAGGCCTCAGTTGGTGGCACTTTGTAAATTGTTGGAACTTCAGTCAATTGGGACAAATAACTTTCTCCGCTTCCAGCTGACTATGAGGTTGAGAAGCATTAAAGCAGATGACAAGGTGAGTCATTCTAAATAGGCACTGGTTAATAATTTTGACATGTAAGAGTAGTGAGTGTGTGTTGGATATACGTATGTCTTCTTAGGCATTTTCCTTTTTTGTCTTAATTTTCTCATTTTTGAACTAACTTAGAACAGAAAGGCTTGAAGAGCTTAAAATCAGAAGTGTCCTTATTTGTAAAGAAAAAGCTGACCTTTTTTTAATCTACCATTAATTGTAATGAAAGTAATTGTTACAAAGAAAAGCATTTCTATGAAACTATAATTTTAAGGGAGCTGATAGAAGTATTAACTTAGAGATATTGACATTACTATTATGGAGCTTTTAAGACTACAGTATAATGTTCACTGTTTAAAAAGTGGAGGCTATTTTGTGTTATCACAGCAGCCTCTAGTGGCCGTTGTAAAAATACGGACTTCTGTGTGCGCGTTGATGGTGGTTCTTCAGTTTTGAGTTATTACATGTTAAAGTTTATTTTATGCTTTGTGCAGCTGATTGCTGAAGAAGGAGTTGATAGCCTGACTGTTAAAGAACTGCAGGCAGCTTGTCGTGCCCGAGGTATGAGAGCTCTTGGTGTGACAGAGGAGCGTCTCAAGGAACAGCTTAAACAGGTATGTTTTTGCAAGACTGAATACACAGACCTAACTTCAGTTGCTTGCTCTGATTTTTGTTATGATTCTGAGAAATCGTTTTGCTTCTGTTCTCATTAAAGGCTTGGTTAAAACAGTCTTTCTCCTTAATAAGCTTTTGTCGTGTACTGTGTGAGTATGTAGTAGCAGCGGGTTTCTGGCTTTTGACTAGGCCATGATGTTTTGTTGATGCAAATAGATAATTAAACATATCCAAAATATGTTTGCAGTTTTGGCACTTTGTCTTGTTAAGTATTTGTATTACTCTGTAAAGAACTTTTCTTCAAGTAGATCAGTTCTTTCTCTTTTGGTGTTGCCTGGTTTAGAGGAAGAGGCATGTGAAACTAAATGCTTTTTCAAATATTCATACAATACTTCTTGAAATACTTCTGCAAACAAAATACTTCTTCATATATTTCAATGCAATTGCTGTAATTCTTAGCTGCTTATAGCCTGTAGTTCCTGTGCTAGGATACTGACTGATAAGCAGAGGTAAAAAAAATTACTGTTTTGTGTATGCTTGACTTGATCTGTAAAAAAGAAAAAAATCCAGAAGTTAATTTGTTATATGTATTGCATTTATAGTGGTTAGATCTGCACCTGAACCAGGAAATCCCTACTTCGTTGCTTATCTTATCCAGAGCCATGTATCTTCCAGATACGCTTTCTCCAGCTGATCAGCTTAAAACAACGCTTCAGACACTACCAGAGAGTGTTGTAAGTATTGATATACATAGTCTGCAACCAGCTTTCAGTATCATCACTGAAAATCCGTTCAGGGAGGTAGATGTTCTTCTTGGTTCCTTTCCTTTCCTTGAAAAGCTAAACCATGAATAGGTTTGAGTGACCTCTGAACACAGAAGAAGTTGGCTTATATGTGGAGGGGTCTGAGAATAAAGCAAATAAAAGGCAATATTTCATTGCATGACAGTAGACAGTAATAGCATAAGAAGATTTAGAATACCCTTTTTACTGATATAAAAAAAAAAAAATCTACGCTCCAGGCAACTTAAAGACATTAATACATGAAAATGTTGATGATGATGTGTAGAGAGAGGAATTATCTGACTAGATTATTGGTAGTCTTGAGATAAAGAGAATGAAGAACATGTACAATTTCAGGGTAAAAAGTTCTTGTTCTCAAAGAAAGAGAATTATCTTTTTCTGAGAAGTGCAAAAATAGGGTAACTTTTGGGGGTTTTAACTACATTCATTAGCATACCTGTCCTACCTATCTTAATAAGGACATATAAATTTCTTATATTATGTAGACATACATATATATATATAGACACATACATAGACTTTAATAGACTTCCTGCATTATTTATAGGCCAAAGAGGCTCAAGTCAAAGTGGCAGAAGTTGAAGGTGAAAAAGTAGATAACAAAGCACGGCTGGAAGCAACACTTCAGGAAGAGGAAGCCATCAGAAAAGAAAATGAAGAAAAAGAGATGGAAAGATTGTCTGAAGCTGCAGAGAAAGCCAAAGAAACCCTTCAAGTTGCAGCCATGGTAAGTTCTGGTCTCAACTATTCTGAAATAAATGTCAGTGATGTAGAAACTAGCATGTTATGAGTTACTGCCCCTGCTCTGGGTGTTGCCTGCAAGAAACTGGACTTTAGGCTCACATATGCAAGATGAGGGAGAGTATTAAAACAGACTGCAACACAGAAGGGTTGGCTGTGAAACATAAAAGATTGTCTCAGTCTTATGTAACTTTGATTTCTCTTTCCTCTTAATTAAAGTAATAAGAGAAGCCTTTTATTTCTGTAGCAAAGGTGATGGTTCTGTTTGTTGTTTTTTTTTTTTTTTTTTTATTTCCCCCACCCTATACTTTAAAAGTTCTTATCTTTGACTCTTTCTTTTTGTCATTAACCTGATAATGTCATTGTATAATACTTGACTATAAAAGCTGCTGGCCTACTTTACTGGTGAACTAAGCCACAGGAGCTCACAGGCATAGTTCATTAAGTGCAAGTGGGTATTTTAATGTGAAACCATTCAATGTGTTGCAGTTTTTTTTAAAGTTGTCTTCTCATTAAAATGTCTGTGTCTACTTCAGCAACTGTTTCTATTTTGAGAAGTCATTCTTTACTGATGCTAATATGGATAATGTTATCTTTGTTTTATTTAAAACCTCATGGGTCTTTCAAATTTAGAAAGAGGTGGAATCAGCAGTAGATCTTGAAGCAGCTGCTCTGCAAGTTAAAAAAAGTGAGATGGCTATGGATACTGAACAAGAACTGGCAAGGGCAGATATGGCGATGCACTCAGAGACACTGAAAGATACAGCACCAGTATTGGAAGGCATTAAGGTAATCTGGATAACTGTATGTTTTTATACTTTTTAATGTAAAGAGTCAAAACATTTAGGTAAGAGCCATGATAAGTTTCCTGGCTGTCCTTCATTTTTCACCCTCTCACTGCATTCTATCAGTTAAAACCAGCTAATTAGTAGATTGCAAATTCTTAACCACCAATGCAGAAATTGAAGTCAGCACAAAACATCTGTGAGTGAGTACCTCCTTTATCTGTCTGTGTTACTGAAACTAATATACCTATTTTGGGGGGGCATTTGCACTGGCTATAGACACACTGGTTCTGTGCATGTCTAATCTATGTGTAGTTAACACAGGAGGAGGGAGAGGGCAAGTGTAGGTAAAGATGAGTGTTCCTTTCTTTTGAAGGGTGTAGCTAAGGCCAAAGGATTAAGTAGGAAACTAAGTTTGGACTATACTAGATTTGTATCGACTTCCTCTTCTAAAATGATATGAGCAGTATATGTACGCTATAAAAACTTTTCAGGGTATTCTTTCACTATTTCTGTAGTATGATGTTGAACATAGTTTATACCCCTGTTAAAGTAACAGATTAATTTCTAGGATTAGCATACTTTGTTACAGTCAAAGCATGCTGGTTTTAATCATTTGCTACCTGGCTGGCCTGTAGCTCCCCAGAGTCTCCTCCTTGCCCTTACTGAAGATAGGAGTCATATCTGCTTTCTTCCAGTCCTCAGAAATCTTTTCTGATGACCATGTCCTTTCAAAGATAACGGAGAGTGGCCTCTCAGTGACATCAAACAACTCCCTCAGCTCTTGTGGTTGTATCCCATTAAGTCTCATGGACTTGTGTGTGTTAGTTTGTTTAAATGTTCTCTGATGTGATCCTCCTCCACTGATGGTGGATATTCCTTGCTCCAGACTTCCCCATTAGTCTCGAAGACCTGGGATTCCTGAAGGCCAGTCTTATCAGTAAAGACTGAGGAAGGCAGTGACTACCTCTGCCTTTTCCATGTCCTTTTGCACCAGGTTCCTTGTCCCATTTAGCAGCAGGGTCATGTTTTCTCTTGTTTTCCTTTTGCTCCCAATGTACTTGTAGAAGCCCTTCTTGTGGCCCTTCATGTCCTTCACCAGATTCAACTTGAGGTGGGCTTTGGCTTTCCTGAACCCATCCATGCATGCTGGGACAGTGTCTCTGTATTCCTCCTGGGTCACCTGTCCCTGCTTCCACCTCTTGTATGCTTTCTTTTCATGTTTCAGTTGTACCTTGAGTTTTATTTGTAGCTGAGCACTTTATTTTTGTCCATGAGGTTTGATAACAGGATTTTTGTCAGTCCCAGTGTTACTTTGCAGAATAACAACATTAATTTAAAATGGATGTTTTTAAGTAGAAAAAATATTTTCAATTTTCCTGGACAGCATCATTCTCTACCTGCTATTATTATAACATTGTTTACTTTAGAATGCTGCCAAGAAGGTTTCAGTGGTAATAACAAAATGGAACTAATCCATATTGAAATCGTGCATTGTTGTGTGATGAGTTAACTGACTCAGCTGACTGTGTAGCTGGGTGCATGATAGTGCAGCCATGAGGAATGCTGTGGGAGGGAGGCAGGCAAGGCTGGGATCATCATCTCATTTGGAAACAGCAAGGATGTGTGATGTCGCAGCTAGCTTACACTGCCACATCTGGCATAGCATTCGCATTGCTGCCTGCCACGCCACCAACGCTGTGAGAATGTATGACACCAGGCCACAAACAAGACTTCTTCAACAGCCCTAACTGATACGAGCAAACAAGAAGTAAAGTTAGCGTGGCATTTCTTAACCAAGGTGACAGTGTGGCCTGTCCCCTAAAGATGCTTTCAAAGATTTTAAATGCTGTGAAACACATTCTTGCCTCTTAGAGGAAAAAGGTAAGACTCCCAGCTTCTTGAAGATGACTGATTTTATTTGAGGCAGAGGAATTTGTTTTCAAACTGCGTTGTTTGGGTTTTTTGGGTTGGGTTTTTTGGGGAGGGGTAAAGTGAACTATAGATGTTGTATTAAAATCAGAAGTGAGATTGATACCTAGATATTAACAGTACACTGAAACTCTTTCTGAGTTGACAAAGGGGCTGGATGCCTAGTTTGTGAAGTGTTCTGTAGTTGTTTCTTGGAAGCATATCATCCTTCTGCTCTGTGTTTCTGGCATCCTTGTTTGTATGTGTCTTTCTGTACTCTACTTGTGTGGCTGTTCAGAGTTTAGCCATTCAAAATAAAAGCTGGTGTATGGGTAAGATTAATGTGCTAACTGTAGCTAGTATTATGGGATTTTAGCATTTTTAATGAATTGCCTTGAAGTCTTATTCTTTAAGTATTCAGTTGGCAGTTAGATTTTTATTCTCAGCTTTTCAAGAGACAGGTATACTTCACAAACTATGGATGTTCATCCTCATTCTCACAAAGGTTGTTGAAGATAACTTTGCTCCAGCTCAACTTCCTAAACTTAGCTCTGCACATTTTTTTTGTGTAATCTGTCTTTCCTGTACGTAATGAATCATTTCTCAATCATTTGGATTTTTCACCCAGCAAAGAAGGAAGTAAAACATTCTTAAATGAGACAATCAGGTACAGAATTTCAAATAGCCAAAACTCACATAATGAATCACATTAGCTGAACTTAATACTGATGCACTTAAAAAATACGTACCATAGCAAACTAATTGCCTTAGCATTTATGATCTTTGCATTAGCATCAAAATGCAGATTCTCTGCATTAGCCTCAAAATGGCTATGAACAATACTGACTCCGAACATGGAAAACGAATTTTGAGTCTGTTTTTTCTGTTAAAAGACCTGAAATCTTTGAGGAAAATCACAAATGTGTCTTTCACTAATTTGTATATATTTTGTTACAGGGTGAGGAAATCACTAAGGAGGAGATTGACATGCTGAGTGATGCTTGCACCAAGCTGCAGGAACAGAAAAAATCATTAACAAAGGAGAAGGAGGAGCTTGAGGAATTGAAGGGTGATATCCAGGAGTATAGTGAGGTGAAGAATGGGGCATGGAAGTTCTATTTTTATTTCTGTTCATGTTTAGTTCTAGCATAAATGATCCACAAATTTAAAGATTATCTTGCTTGGATGTCTGTGACCTTGTAGTTGGTAGCTGAGTGAATGAACTTTGTATGGGACAATGCAGAACCTCATTTGTATAATGTGTTTAAAGCCTAGTTAAAATCATTGGAGTAGTTCCCACCAGATGAGAATCCTGTTCCTGCTCTTATTCCCGGGGAGACTAGACTAACAGGTGCTAACTGTTGGTGTGCTGCAGTTCTTTCTTATCAAGCATAGATGTCAGTATTACAGATACTTCAAGTTAAGTAGAATGAATCTTATACAATCTTATGAAGGATGTGGAAAATAACATTTAAGGGGTGCATTAAAAAGGCAGCAGTGTTATAATTTATTGTTCTAATCCCAGTTTGGCTTTATATGTCTATATATTTGCATTTCATTTATGAATGGCTCCTGTCTTGGAATGCTAGTCGAAGTTAGTAGTGTCTGTTGTTGAGAATTCACACCAACAAAAGCTTTTCTCTCTTGACCATTTCTTTTAGGATTTGCAAGAGATAAAAGAGCTCTCTAAAACTGGCCAGGAAGAAGCAGTGGAAGAGTCAAAGGCAAGCAAGCGATTGACCAAGAGGGTGAACCGAATGATTGGTCAGATAGACAAAATTATTAATGAATTAGAGACAAGTCAAAAGACGGTGGATGTAAAGCTGGACGGTGGTGATAGTCCTCCTGCTGGGTGAGTGACTTGAGAGCACTCAATGTGTCTCATGACTGTTCATCTTCAGTCTTGCTTTTGTCTGAGGTGTGTTAGATAAGAATTAGCAAATAAGTTGCTGTTTGGAATGTTAAGATAATTTATTTTAAAAATGAAATTAATAAAATTGTGCTGTAGATTTTCTGTCTTCTGAGGTATGTTACATATGGTTGAAATGACGAAGGAAAAAAGCAGGCATAATTCCCCAGATGCTAGTCCTGTGCGGGTTCTGAAAGTCAAAGCATCAATTAGTATCTTACCATCTTGTTCACGCTTCTAGCACTAATGGTGTTGCAGGTGAAATCATGCCTTTAGTCATGCTCCTCATGCAGTAGGTTTGCTCTGTGTCATTGATTGAAAAGGTGTGCAGCAGTATGGTAAGCATATACTCATGTTTGTTGTTCTTTAGCAGTGAAGATGTCAGTGAGGAGAAAAATTGCAAAAAAGTCTATTCTTTCTCTGGAGGGAAATGGGGAAACAGGTCTAATGGAAGTAAGGAGATAATTTTACATGGTCCCTTTCTGAAAATTTGCTTCATTTCAACTTTAACACACTTGCAGGTTTTCAAAGAAAAATCTTTCTTTGTAGTTTCATTGCAAAATTCATCTATCAACACTTTTCCAGGTCTTAATGTTACTGGAGAGTCTTTCAGGCAGCCATATGCTGAATGGTCATAGGTTGCATATTGGAGGCACTGAAATACCTAAAAACTGTGACTGTAATTCTCACAGCTTGTGATCGTGAATGTTGTATTAATCTAGCTTATGCTTGCACCATTTTGTGTGATTCATGAAGAGAGCTTCCCAGCTCCCATAGAGCATACCTAAGCAGGATTCTGCTTTTGTTCCTTTGGAAATTTGTTTTTTCCAGTCCCCAGGGCAAAAGGTTATTTGATTCAAATTTTGTGTAACAAGATTAAGGTGGCCATATGAATAGTGCTATAGAGAAGTCGTTGATCAAAATGATCTGAATTTGTAAATTAAAAATACAATCTGTTTGTACTGAACATAATTATACTTTATGTAGTGGATGGTTTTGTGGATAATTTTGTAAGTGATTGTGGATGACTGAAAATTATTAGTTTAAATATTGCTTAATTGTTGAAGGCTTGCTTTTTAACCTTCAAGTTGGTGTAGTCATTACCAGGCCATCAAGAGTCATAGAAATGACACAAGTCTGGGACATTTAGTGACAGCTTAAGAAATGCTTCTTGAACAAAAGTCAGTCTGTGCCCAGAGGTTAGGCCAGGTATGGAGCTGGGACTATACAGATAAAGCCCTTGTGGTTAATATTTATTGAGTTCACGGTCTCCTGCATTTCAACTTGACCTATGCTGGAAGATGGTTCTTCAAACCCAACAAAACTACATAGGCAAGCAGAGGCTTTAGGTTGCAGACGACAGACAACTTCAGCTTCATGAGATCAGTAAGCAGACAGTGGAAATATGTGAAACCTGCTAGTCACGATGTCAAGTTTAGTCCTTTCTTCTACGAAGTCTGTTCCTTGATATGAGTAAATGAAGCCTGTTTGAACAAAACAGCTAAATTGCTAAAGCGATTAGTTCTCAGCTTTTGTTTTCCTGTGACTTTCATTAATTTTGTGTAGGCCAGCCTCTCTAAATCTAGAAGGATGACAGGTGCATGGCACTGCATCTTTGGTAAATGGGGCAGGGGGAGGCAAAGGGCATTAGGTACACAGCCTGGGAAGCACAGAAACTGTGCTGAACTTCATTTCAAATGCTACTGGATAACTATATTTGTGCAATAAAGCACGTGGAAACCAGAAGTGTGAGATTTGATGGTAAGATAAAGATTCATTTGAAATCTGCTTGCTGATCAGTAACTCGTTTTTGCTTTTTTGCGTTCTGTTCAGGATTATAAGTATATAAATAAATAATGTTTTTACAAATGACGTGCAATATAGTGACTTTCAGTACTGCCTTTTGTCGACTTTACTTCTTTGGAGTAGCTGCTTGCCATGTACACATTGTGCTTCCTCTCCAGGGAGAATCTCATCAGTATTGCTGAGCTAATTAATGCGATGAAACAAATCCAGAAGATTCCAGAGGAGAAGCTAACTAGGATTGCAGAGGCACTAGATGAAAATAAGGATGGCAAGATTGATATAGATAATGTTGTTAAGGTAAGTCTCCGGACTACTTAAAAAAAATAAGGTTAGCCATCCTTCAAACATTGTACCTGTTTTGACTTAAATTCATATTGCTGTCTTTTGCAAGAGTCTTTACTTGATGCCAGTGAGGTTTTTGGTAATGTATTGTGAATAGATCTTGTAATACATGTTAGCATCTTCAGAATTTATATGGCTATTTTTGGGGATGAGGGGAGGGGAAGTCTTTATCCTGTGTCTGTTACCCACGTTACCTTTAAAGCTGTAGGTTTTCCTGTATGCCTATGTCAAGTTCTGTAAAATATGGTAATTCTGTTGTGCTACTTATGATTGGGAGGGAGGATGAGAAGGAGCTTTGGAAGAACTACTTTTGGAATACCACTATTAGCCGAAGTCTTGACATGACATATAGATACACTTTATGTCAACACAAGATAATAGCTTCTCTTGCCTACTTGTATACCTTAGATATGTCATTGAGACCTGTATTTCCTTTGCTTGAAAGACATCAGACCATCAGTTGTCCTTTAGGTCCCTTGTAAATGACCTGTGTTCTTTGCCTGATTTGTCCTGTTTTCTCATTTTGTGGAACATTCTCAGGTTTTCCCTGCATTTCTCCTTCATTTTCTTGTTTCCTTTTTACTTGCTAAAATTAGAGATGTCCTGAAACTAACTTCCTTGCAAGTAATTTTCCTACTCAATACAGAAATAGCACTTAAACTGTGGCCAGCTAGAAAATACAGCATCAGCCTTTTGAAACTCATTTTTCCTCTCTACTGACTTGACTTGAAGTTGTCCCAGTGGTGATTATCTTCCCTGTTGCTCTAAACAACCATTGTACATTTAGCAGCACAGGTAAAATATACTTCTGAATTCTGTGTATAATGCAGAATAATTCTAGGGACTTGAGGAGTTATGCCAAGAATGTATTTGTACAAAAAGCTATATAAAGGAATTTGGAATCACTTGCTAAATTATTTTTTCCTTTTGCTTTCTGAAAGCACTACCCTCTCAACTTTTAAGTTTTTGTAAATTTGTGCCTATTTAGTACAGTAGGTCTTTTTGATAAAATTAAGCCTATAAAATAAGTGTTGTCTTAAATACTATTTCAGCAGGTACTGAATCTGAGCTTTCCATTGGAACAGATACAATAAATGGGTCTGTTTTACTGATGCTTTAGAATGTGAGGTTTTGTGTGCTGAGGTCAAAAGTTCTAGAACATGTGATTTAAGTTCTAGCTTTTTTTTAATATGCTGGATATGTTTGAGACACTGGTTGTAGTTTAAGTTTGTGTTTTGTGTAAGAAAAAACGCTGGTTTTCTTGAATATGAGAGAACCAATAATTTTTTTTTTTGTCTTGACAAAATTTATGATAGGAAAATGCCCCAATCATATAAAAACTAAATGCTCTCTCAATTTCATTTTATGTTCTTGTAGGTAGTAGAATTGATTGACAAAGAAGATATCGATATTGGCACCAGTCAGGTTGCTGAGATTATGGCACTGCTTCAAAAAGAAGAAAAACTGGAAGAAAAAGAGAAAGCAAAGGAAAAGCACGATAAAGAAGCTGCAGAAGCAAAGAATTGAGCTTCAGAATCTGAAGCTAATCCCAACTGTAACCAAAACCTTGTATATCTTTCTGTGTCTAATGGCTACGTATTACTTGAGCTTTGTGATTATGGGAAGTGTTTTGAGCTGATTCTAGTAATAAATTATAGATATGTTTTCTGACACATGGAATGACATTTCCGTTCATGAAAGAAGTGATTTACTGTCATTCCGTATAGATGAAAACAAAATACGCTTTTTTAGCAGTGCTCCTGCCCACAAAATCATGTATTTGCACTCATTGTTGTGGTACAGTGATCCATTAAACATGCAGGTTTGCTGTATAAATTAAGTGTATCATGGAAAAATGTTTCTCATTTATTTTCTTTCGTCATTATATGGGGCCCAACCTTGCTCTGCTTCTACCTTTTAGCTTTTTCAGAATTTAATACAAACTTTCCCTTCTGTCACAATATTACATGTTTTTAACCTGTTAGTGAAGATTCTCTGGCTTCAGTAGTAGCTACTTAGATTGAGTTTTATTTAAGCTAAATATCACTAAGCTGTTGCCTCACTGACGGAGAATGTGACATTCTAATCACTTTTATGAATTCATGATTATTATTTTTTTTCTGTTGAAGGGAAAGTCAGACTTATTTTTCCCTAGAATGGAAACTTCCCATGAAGTTTTCTTCTTATGGGTGCCTTAAATTTCTTAAGACTGGGAGTAGAGGATGTCACTTCTACTCAAAATTCCATGAATTACTAAAGCATTAGAATCACAGGAGCCTTCAAAATAGTTTCAGAACACAATCTGTCACACAGTAAAGTGAGTTAAAATGTTTGTCTAAATAGCAAAATGAAAATAATCATAAGGGGAAAATGTCAGTTGTGATCTTTTTGCATAGATTTTTTTTAAAAATGCAGTTATCTCCGCATGTTTGTTGTTTTTATGTGACAATTATTTACACCATAACTAGTTCTCTTACCTCTCAGTTTTCATCTCGGGTATAAAATCACTAACCAGATATAGTCAAAGTACATAAATACTTTCATCTCATGGCCTTGCTTACTGTGCAGTCAACAAGTCATGTCTGGTATTGCCAGTGCTTTGATTACATCATTGGCTTTCTAATTAATTGCTTATAGTTACTGTCTTTAACTGTGAGATTAAATACTGACAGTAGGTCAAGGTTCACTCATTAGTGTCTGTCCTTAGTAAATTTTTAAGCTTAAAAACTAAAATACCAACTCTGGGATGTTCCATAATTCCTGGTAGCCTAAATTTTCCACTCTTTCTTAAAATCTGTGAAGAAATACACAGTGTGACTTGAACCAGCAGGGTTGTGGTTTGTTTTTTTTATTTTATTTTTATTTTGCACCCAGTATTATAAAATATATGAACGTTCTTGATTTTGTGTACACTATAGAGAGCACATCTTACAATGGTGCTGTACACAGTGATATCGAGGTGGGCAGTTAGCGCTTAATGCTTTTAGTCATAGTTGCATATTTTTGTAGAAAATGTTGACTCCCAAGCATATTTCGGCATAATTCCATGTTCAGTATTTATCTAGATTGGCTAAATTATTTGTGAAGACTTATTTGAAGTTAGTGGAACAAAAAAAGTTTTGACAGTCTCATGGCTTGCATGATGGACCATTGTATTTAGTTGTTTCCAAAGCAAGATGTACAGTAAGATGTACAGTACAATTAATTATAGAAAAAGGATCAGTGTTTAGTTCAAGTATCGAGTTCATATTCTGTACAGTTTGCAAAGAAAGCTGCTTACAGTAAGATCCTCCTGAGAATTAATGTAATTGTATCCGAAGTGTAAAATAGCTGTGACACAACTGAAATTTCAAATCAGTACAATCTTTGTAGTTAATGTACCCGTAAACAAGGGGACTGTTCTCTTTCTTGTAAATTGAGATTAACTTGCAGATTTCAGCCTGAAGGTCAGTTTGTAGATTTTGAAGATAGGATTTCAGTAGGTGCTTTTTTAGGCCAAAATTCCTTAGATGAAAATGCAAGAGTAAAACTAATTTCACAAAAACACAATTTAAAAACTAATTTTACATTGAATAATTTACAATTAGAATTAATGGGCTTTGGAGTATGCAAAATTTTGCAGTTGCATATCTTCAACTTGAAAATGATGCATAACAATCTTACTTGACATTCCTGAAACATGATAAAGATACTCTAAAATTGTCTGCTACCTTTCATGGAATATCAAAAACCTAAGAATTGTATGCACTTTAATGCATGCAAGTTTAAAACAGGGAAGTAGCAGAAAAAGCTGTTTTCAAAGATTTATTGATTAAAGTTTTACAGAGCTTTAACTGTCCTTACAGTAAATTATCTGATTGTAGTATTGGGGAGTTTAAGACACTTTGCTGCTGTTCTTTTTCTGTGTTTACTGTTCACTTAAATTTTCTGTGGATTAAAAAAGAAGGGAGTCAAAACTAGCTGATTTTTTTTTTAATGAAGAATGTCCTGATTAAAATAATTGTGATACATTTATTGAACATTTTTAGCTTTTGGCCTTGTTTGAAATTTGGCATATTGTGAAATTTTAGCAGGTTAAATGTCAATCACAAATGTCAGTTTTCCCCTGTTACCTAAAGCATTTAAAGGACATACGCATCAACCATAGCGAAGCATTTTCACAGGGAATATTTTCCTTCTGATGTTGAAAGTAGGCAAACCCATGACAGCTGGACTTGAACACCACATGTTCTGCAAGCTTAAAAAGCTTAGAAAGCCCTCGGTGATTCCCATTTACCCAGTTTTGAACCTTCCCAAGCAGCTCTCTCCAGTCGATACAGTCAACTCCAGCAAATCGGTGGCTTGAGGACTAGCTTCAGGCAACATGCTGTGTTGTCTTCTGTGTTGACCAAAAGAACAGAAGCTGCAGTACTTTCAGAGAAAGGATGACTTCAGAGTGTACAGTAACTGGTCAGAACTTATTCCTGAATGAATATTTAATCAGGAGATGTAAATATTTGTTTAAATAATTAAAGGATGTGTGAGATTTCGGTGACCTTGTGACTTACACAGGCAAAGCCTCTAAGCTCAGAGTTAGGTGATCGGTAAGACTGTTGTTGGGGTTGTTTCAGATTCAAGTAAGATCAGATTTTGATTATAAACTATTCAGGGGGAAAAATGTAAAACATTTTAAAAGCTTTTAAAAAAAATGCATTTAGCAACAGGGAAGAGAGGTAAAGTAGGATGTAATTTCTTTTTTCCCCCTTCAAAACAAGCAGGTTATAGGACCTATTTTATTGAAAAACTTGTTTCCATTTCATGTTGGCTCAAAAGATTTTTTTTACTGAGATTTTCATCATTCACTGCATGCTGCAAGAGTAAATCTGCCTGCAAGTTAAGTACCAGAACGCTAATACCTCCTTTGTCAGCGGGACTGCATGCAGGTAGAGAATACTCTCTTGACAGGATAGTACCTTACACTTAGGTAGGCTTTGTCTGAGGGAAAAAGTTACGTCTTTTATACAACTCCAAAATACTTCTTGTAACTTTATATCTACATACCTTGCTAATCATTTAAACTTTAGCTACTTCAGCATGTATTTAAATACTTTTAAATTGTTTATATCAAATTATTTGGTATATTTAATTAAAAGAATAATCCCATATTCTGTTCTTTGTATATATTCCAGGTTTTGCTTTTCAGTTGAAGAATTTCAGCCCATGTTACAAATTTAGGTTAAAAATCATTCGTCTGTGCTCTGAGCATACTGGTCCTGTGTTTGCCATAATGCAGTATAAAATTTTTAAGTTAATTGGAGCTTGTGTCCTTTGTTTAGTTATAATAAATGTATCATTTTGAAACCTAATCTCTCCATTATGTTTTTGTTGCTTTGGTTTATTTAGAGCTGTTCAGAAGAGATGCCAGTCAGAGCTGGACACTGACGAGCTGAGCATTATAACTGAAATGTTTGGGGTAAAAGAGGGCAAGTGGAGGACAAATCTTTAAACTGGGTGGGTGGTGAGGTGAGGTGGGTTGTGTGGGATTGGGGGTGTGTGTGTGTGTGTTAGTTCTTGCAGAAATTCTCCTGATGAATGTGAGACTGCTTGCCTGATGTAGTGAATTGTGCTAAACCATTCTTTCTAACTATTGTATTTTAGGTATGAAAGTGGGGAGCAGTGTACTCTTTACTATAAGGAACTAATGGAAAGGTTAAGATCTATTCCATGTAGAAATAAGTCTCCTTAGGAAAGATCCATGTTTGGTCTTTGCCCAAGCTAGGGGAGAAAACACATCTGAAATGGTTCTAAAGACTGATTATTTTATGCCATGCCATGCCCCTTGCCCCTGATTTTGCAAAATAATATGTATTCCTCTGTAATGCTAATATTCCTCACAAAGTTCATCCCGGCGTACAGCAGACTTTTAAGTCTTGGGCATATCCAACAATATGCTTTGTTAATTAAAAGCTGTTAATGATTTATTGCTACCTCTCCTCTCGAAGCTTTGGCAGCCTGGGTGGGAAGGCAGAGAGAGCCCAAGCCAGCAAGGTGTTCCAGTCCACAGCTGGTCCCTTGGAAATAACCGAGCTATCTCAAACATAACTTGCATTGCTGCTGTTTTGGGAGCTTCAGCGCTCGTCTTGGCCCAGCTGTGGTCAGCACTTACAGAAATGCATAGCAAAGAAGATCCAGACCCAAAAGATGCAGAGGTCCTGTTGCATGGGCCTGTGTTGACAAAAGCAGTCTCCTGGCTGCTTTCAAACAGGATTTGGGAATGTGCAAACATTGGATCTACTTTCTAGTGTCAAAGTATTTCAACAGATGGCTGAAAAGAACCTCCTGCCTTGAGATACTTTTAAAAAAACAGATAAGCTAGATTGGGTTGCAGTTTTTCCTTCTTTTCCTTAAAGCCAAGTATATCAAATAAATGGCTTAAAAAGTGGCTGAACTTGTTCCTTTTAAGCTTTTGCATTAAAAATTTCCTTTAATGACAGACTTACTTAGGGTGAATAGGACTGTTGTGCAGCAGTGTGGTAAGACAGACTAGCAGAGAAATTGTGGCTTTGAGTTTGTAAATTAAATGTGGACATTGGCAAGTGCAGTTGATCGTAGTTACCCGTGTCCTGAATGCCCAAGAAAGAGACCGACTTCTGGATCGAGTGTTGTTTTTGCTGAGATATATTGGTTATATC